TAAGAAACTCCAAGGAGGCTAGTCGCTAGGGAGAGAAAGCTGGGTGTTGCTACGTGATGTCATTACCTGGTGCCCATAGCCACCGATTCTGGGTTGGGCTGGGCTTTGGGCCACATTTTGTGCCATGGGGTCTTGGCAACGTTGGCTGTGATTTGGGGGGTGTCACTCCGGGGTGGTGGCAGGGCCTGTGTCCCACTTGGGGGAAGCCAAGTGTTGGTTTGTGGGCGACAGTTCCGCAGTGCCTGTAAATGGCCACTGCGCATCACGGCAGCTCCTGCGTTGAGTGTCTGCCCCCTGGTGGTCAGTGTGTGTCATAGCTACTGGTCGGATGGACACTTAGTATATTAGCCTTTTATATATAGATAGATAGATAGATAGATAGATAGATACTCTGAAGTTTTATTAGCTATTTGTGACTAGTGAATACAGTAGACAGGTGGATGGGGTGTCACATCATCCATGAAGCTCATTCCCCATGGAGACACTAAGGTAACAACAATATAAGGATCAAACTCTGGAAACAAGTTGGGAAACTACAACACCCAGGTGAACACAAAGCCAGGAGGAAGCTGCACTGAAAAGTTTGTCGCATTTTGCTCAGCCTAGCCCCTCCCCCTCCCCAGCAGTGTGACACAATTGAGAGGAAACTTCCAATTCCTGCCTCTTCCCTGAGGACAGAAAGCACTTGTGTCTAACATTCTGGCTGTTGTGAAGGTTGCCTGAGGGACCTGGCGAGTTAGTGGAAGTGGTGGTATGTATGATTTGGATGCTGGTTGACAGCCACTGAAAACAGAAGAGAGCACAGGTGCGTTAGAAGAACAGGGTGTCTGCAGTTCTTTAAGCAGAGGGTGCAAAAGAGTACAGACAGGAATACAATAAAAATTGAAACAGTTCCTGAGAAGAAACCAGGGCAAGTCTCTTAGGGAAATTAAGACAGCTAAAAGCTGATGTATATCCTAGAATGAAAGGACACACACAAACTCAGAGAAGATACATCTCCAGAAAAAGTTTGGGAGGTCTCAGAGCCTCCAGCCAGGCTTATAGGCACCTCTTCAAGCCTTTACACCTTTGTCAATTATTCCAATGCGCAAATCTCAACAAAGTTCACAAGGCATATAAACAGATGAATATGGCTCCAATCTAAGAAACAAAAATCTAGGAACCAACTATAAAGAAATGCAGAATATAAACTAAATGCAGATGCCTGAGTTACCACTTTTAGTTTTTGTATAGAATTTTAAAAGCAAAGGCAAAAAATAACTATAAATCTATGTTGTTAGGTACAAAATAAAGTATAATTTGTGGCATCAATAACAAAGTGGGGGTAGGCAGAGATAAAGGAGTGGAGTTTTTGTACGCAATTCAAGTTGTCATGACTTAGATTTTTTTTATATAATCCGCATGGTAACCAAAGAAAATATCTCTAGATTTTACACAAAAGGAAATGAGGAGAAAATCAAAGCATGTCACTTCAAAAAAAAATAATGAAACACAAAGGAGAAGGGAGTAAGAGAGGAAATGGTCGAACTACAAAACATACAGAAAACAATGAACAAA